TGGTGCCCAGCAACAGGACAAGAGGCAACGGGCAGAAACTGAACCACAGGAAGTTCCACCTAAATCTGAGAACAAACTTCTTGACTGTGAGGGTGACAGAGCATTGGACCAGGTTGCCCAGAGAGGTAGTGGAGTCTCCTTCGCTGGAGATATTCAAAGCCCGTCCGGATGCGATCCTGGGCAATATGCTCTAGAGGACCCTGCTGGAGCAGGGAGGTTGGACTGGATGATCTCCAGAGGTCCCTTCCAACCTAAACGATTCTGTGAATTCTGCAAAGCTTCATGAAGGAGCAGATTTCTACTTGGGAGGATGTAAAGTTAGATCCTAAGAATTCTAGACTCTGAGGATTTTCATAGCATTCTTTATATTGATATAACTATGGTGCTTCATGTCCTGTTTAGGAATCTGCTGAGTGTTCAGTAGGAATTGTTGTTGCTCTTTCTTGCATCAGTGTAAACTTATATCAGAATAAAGTGATAGTTCAAATACAGTCTCGCGGTTGCTGCTGTACCCTGACTGACATGTCAGATGAAATAATCTCTGTTACTGCCTCTGCACTGTGCTGATTTTTCTGAAAATGCAGAGACAAGCTGCTTTCAGCACTTCAGTAAACCTGCTGTCCCCTGAAGTGAGCTATTCCCTGACTTCTGAAAGGCTGAGTCATAACCTGGAGTACCTGAGGCTTGTAAGAAAAACTAAGCCATGCTTTCAAGCGATGTCCGTTTTTCTTTTTTTTTTTTCTCCCTTGTGTTGTCTGTTAATTGAGGGCTTTATTTAATCTAATGTCTTCTGGCCTGCCATTCTGCAAACTGTCAAGCAGGTGTTGGCTCGTCTGGTCTGACCTATATAATATTGATCATTAAGTTTCACTCAGATGGCTCTATATCAAGTCTAATTGACTAAAACGTTTCAGTCCTTGTGTGACTAATCTATGCACAAACTGGTTAGCCTGGGGTGCCACTCATGTCTGAGACCTCTGCAAGTTACAGGAAACTGAAGATTGAGATGTGTCCAGATAATCACAGCGACCAAACCACACCCTGTGCTGTAGGAGGAGGTGGAAAAAAAAAAAAGACAGGCCCTGTCCTGAAAGAAAATTATTCTTGACCTCAAATCTGAGTCAGTCCATTTCCAAGAATATGAGCAAGCAGGTTTTTGAGAGCAAGGTTTTAAAGTGTATTTGCTGTACCGTTCGAAACCCCCGATCCCACCCCTCAGATTCTGCGTGTGCAGCTCTAGTCAATCTGCAGTACTTTCAGAGGGGAGGGAGAGAAAGCACATCTTTCTTTATAGATACTGGAAGAAACAGATGTTTCCTGAGCCCTGTAGACAAACTGTAGAACCTTGAAGAACAAGCCAGGTACAAGTGTGTCACAGGAAAAATAAATAATTCTTCTTTTTTTTCCCCCCTTGTGAAGGGTGGAGAAAAACATAAGGACCAGTATTCATGTTTTTCAAACTACTGACCAGTTGAATGGCTTGCAAATGGAAGGCCATAGGGGGGAAAAAAAAAAAAGATGGATTAAAGAATGGCTTTTTCTACTAAATGACAATCCATAGTGTTTAGGTGTCCGTTATTGTGTGTAGAATGACAGAGTTTGGGAGATCTGAAAAGACAAGTATTGTCTGACAACGACCTCGTTTTTTGGCCATGATACGAGACAGGTTTGGCAGGTTTTGTACTACGTTCTGAGCTCACTTTAACACTGGTCAAGTTTGGGGACTTACGGTCTTCTGGAGAGAATTAAACTGAGAAGAATATGGCTTGGCTCGCGTACCTGCCTCCGTGAGAGTTAAGTACCTTGGTTTGAAATGAACGTATGACTTATAAATAGATTCCTCTTTCATGAAATGCAAAATGGTCTCTGTTTCGCAGGAAGATGGGAACAAAAAACAAGCCTCAGAACAAATGAGCGTTAGAACTGCCTAGCTGATGCACTATGCAGGGCCACCTTTGAAAGTTACTGAGATAGATGTCTTGAAGCTTTGGAAAAAAGGACGTTAAGGTTTGAAATGCAGGTTATTTTAAGAGTTTAAGAGAAATATTGCGCTTCTATAAAATGTCTTTTTGCAGACTATACTCCAACGTATTTCGGGCATTTAATAGCCCGAAAGCGTCCCATTTAATAGCGTCCCAAGTGAATGATCTGCTACGCTGCCTTGGAGGCATAATGTTTCCCTCATTGTTATATAGCATTGAAAATCAGGCTGGGCGAGTCTGGAAGAAGCAGCAAAATGATCTGATCCCTAGAGCCTGCATTCTGTAATTTATTATAGACCTCTTTTTGGTCCAGAGACCAAAGGGAGTAGATGAGAGCAAGAGCGTAACAGCAGTGTGATAGTGCAGTGACTCAGTTCAAAATGTCATGGTGTGTGTCTGTACTGCAGTTAGTGCTGGGAGCTTCCTTGTGTGCTGCTAACAGTGTTGTTGCAGCAGTCCTGAACTGATAATGGCTTTGGTGGCCAAATACTTCTCCAGGTTACTGTGGTTTGCAGCCTGTGCTGAGCTCAGTGCTGCTGCAGCTGTATCATTATTGGTACCAGAGTTAGCTGCTTTGAAGCTAGTTCAGATACACAGAGATGAGCTGCGAGCACACCTTTGATCGTCAGTCATGTAGACGTAGTCATAATGAATCTTGTTTTCTGATCTTAGATATGCTGACAGTAGTTTTTTTTTTAGAAAGGAATTAGTTGGATTAGAGCATGCTGGAGACTTGGGGCAGTGTGGAGAGCATTCTGTGCTCCCATTGGAGCACCATATAATCCAGCAAAAGACAAACCACATGTGTCCCGAGTTTAGCTATATGAGAGTAGTTCCACGGCTTTGTATGAGACCATTTGAATGGCTGGTTGAATTAAGGTCATGGCAGTTAAGACTTTGCAGGATCGAGCAGGTAACAACATACACAAATACCAGAGTTATGCTTATCAGAGGAATATGCAAAGCAGGTATCAAGGATGATGGTTTCTTTCTGTTATCTGATCATTGCAGCACAACTGCTGTAGTAGGTAGCAGTAGGAGCATGGAGGTCTCTAAGGGAAACTTCGTGTGTGGCTCTGTGGAGAGCTTGCTAAGTGAGCCCACCAGTCGGTCGCTTTCTCCCATGCCGTCTCCCAGCTGCTCCTCTGTTATGATATTCCTCATTTGTTAAGATCTTAAATGGTAACCTGAGCATATGTGGAGGGGACGGCAGTGAGAGTTGGTGTTTACACTTTGCAATGTGATGCAAAAGTTATACCATTGGCAGTCAGTCGTCCCCTAACATTTGCCTTCTATACGTGGATGCGGTGGGAGAAATGCAGTTTAAATCAGCATAGTAGAAGGAAGTTACACTGAAGGCATAGAAGACAGAATGTATAGGCCTTACTTGTTACAGGTATAATGATTTACATATTGTGTTCTGAAACACATGTGCTCCCAAGTTTGAGTTCAGATGAATCTGCTAAATTATACAAGCACAAAACCAAAAGAATCAGAATGCTTCAGGAGGGAAGAAAAATACTTTGGGGCCCCTGCCCTTTGCTAACTTAGAAATGACTGGATTGGCAGTCTCACCAGATAAAGGGAAATATTTTCTGGGTTAACAGTTCATCTATTTGGACAAAATAAGGGGAATTTTGGGGCAGTTGTGGGTAGTTTCTTCTTTTTGTGGGGGGGAGGGGTTTGTGCAGGGGCTCTGTCATATCAGGTCAAATATATAGTAAATAATATTAGTAGCACATAGCTATAGGCTTTTCTTTAAGGTGATCAATACTTTTTTGCAAAAGAGGGTAACATTTCCATTGCACAGAGCACTGCGCATAGGCAGGAAGGTACCAGAGCCTGATCCTGCTTAATCACTGGAAAGCAACTTGCATATAGCTACTGCCATACAGGAAGAAAACACATGAGGATGGGGTCACGTTCTCATTTGAAAAATCATCCTAGTATTATACTTATGATTGCTGAAGTTGACTGACCAAACGACCACTGCAGCAAAGCAGAGATGGCAGATCTCTAATTGAGTGTATTTTGCTTTTATAGCTGATGAGGGCGGCGGCGGCAGCAGCAGCAGCAGCGGCCAGACCTCGGCCTCAAACTGAAGAGCGAGGGGATGGAATGCCAAGACGCCGGAGGAACATGGGAAATCGGATGATGGCCCAGAGGAGAGCACAGCAGGCGGAAGACTGGGCGGAAGGTAACACTTGATTTAGTTCATTTTCTAAACATTGAAATGGACCTTACTGGCAGACATTAGGGTTGTTAAAGAAGTGCAGTTGGCTCCTAAAGAACAGTTTTCATTTGCAGCTTGTCTGGGGTCTGTCTGACTGTCCAGATATTGCAGACTTCTCTCAGTGCTTTGTTGCTTAACTCTAGATATCACTTACCTTTAACTGAAACGTATCTCCTTCTACGGCGGATTGTAACAGTTTCCTTCAGTGGCAGATTGTGACGATTTTCTGTGCCGGTAGTGTGTCACAACATATTCTTTATTTTTTCCCTAGAAACTACCTTTTACTTTTTCTGCTTAGCTGTGCAGGTTAAATTTGAGTAAACAGAACCAGCGCCTTACTACATCTTTACATTTCAGTGTAAGGTATTGGTTTATTGCAAATTGGTGGGAAGCACTAATTCCCCAGTGTAATCCCCACAACATCTGGAGTTTTCTTTTTTGAGAAGCAGTCCAAGTGTAGTGACCAGAATCAAGTCTGATTAGCTTGGGACTGGCCCAGAGACTGCACCATTTTGTCTTCCACCAGCAGCTTGTTGATGATGAGTCTTCTGTTCCTGTTCTGGATCTACAGTTAACAACTACGTTTTTGCAGTGTCGTTATAGACATGAGAACGGTGATAAATAGCTCCTTTCTACACCTCCAAGCCCTACTCCCTGTTCTGGTGAAGCTTCACGCCTTGTTATCTATTACTCTTCAAAAATGGTATCTGTATGATTCTCCTAACTGGATTTCTCTCTCAGAGGTTGTAGGTTGAGCGTTCACGTTCAAGTATTGATGGAAGTGAACCTTGCTCCGTTTGAGTTTACAGTGGAGATCAAAGTGATGATTTTGGTCTGCAGTTGTTAAGAGACAATGAACAAACAGCTGTGTGATGGCTTGATGTGGGGATAATTGTACTTTCCCATCTTGTCTTATAGTTTGTAGAAAGCGCTTTGTGCTCACATTGGCAGGTAAATATGCTATTCAAGCTAATTATATTCAACAATTTCTCAAATGGAAAATTGACAGGCCTGAACTTTTCAACTTTGGTTATTTATTTTCATGTGAGAACATCCTGGAAAGAAACTGAAATCTAAAAATGTTTTCCTCTCAGACTCCAGACTTCAAAAGTATGAATGCCAAAGGACAAAAATGAAGCTGTCAGAGCAAACTGCTTATCTTAATTTGTGACTGTAGCAATGGAAGAATCCATGTCATTGGGCTTTATAATTAATTATTTTGCCGCTTGCTGCGCATCAGATACAGCAGTGTAGCTCTTGCATGCAGTTTTCTTTGAAATGATATTTCTGCCTTCCCCCCTCCCCTTCCCCAAATTGAGGCAACTTCTTGCTCTCTTTTGTGTTTCTTTTGTTTTGTGCTTTTATGCGTTGCTTTTTTGTTCATATTCTGGGATGGTCTTTCCAAGCGCTAGAGCACCGGTACACAGCAGTAACGCCAAAGCCTTTGGAGAGGAAGCATAGACTTTAGCAGCAGAGCTGTGGAGAGAAGCGTCTGCCCCTAGCTCCCAAGAGTAGAGGTACAGAATGACTGGTGGCTGTGTTACTTAGGATTAGTCCCCTCTGACACAGACCGGCAGTATCCATGCTACAGAGCCTTTGGTCTGGCTCTTCTCTGAGTTCCGCGTGGTCTCCCTCGTGTGGGGCCGTGCTCATTTTCGCAGTGTTGTTCCAATATGGGGCAGTTTTGTAAATTACCACCTCTGGTTATAATAGCAAGCTATCCTCAGAACCACAGCAGAGTTTTACGTTATAAAAATTGACTCACTTGAAAAGAGAGCCCAGAATATATGCACTGATGTGTAATCGTAATGATCTGGGACACCAGGCCAGGAGCTGTTACTTGGCAGCGCAGAGAGAAACATTGAAAGCAAGAGATCCTGGTTTCTTCAGTGTAGCCTTGCAAATGTTCTGCTTTGGAAGCCTTCTGAACACCTATAACTGAAATGTTTTTTTGACTTTTTTTGTTGTTAAAGTAAATGTTTTGTTCTTTGCCCAGAGTTTCCACTCTGGGACTGTGTTTAGCTTTGGACAAAGCTATCCGATCCTGTTCTCTGCCACTCTGACTTCCTCTACAGGTTAGAGCAGGCATAACACGAAACCCGTCACTGCAAGATTTCTAGCGCTGAAGTTAGGAAGGGCATGAGGATGCCTGGTCAGTATGTTACACTGATGGACCTAGAAGTGGGACCAGGTAGGAGCTTCTGTTATCACCAAAGTGTTCTGCCTACTGAGAGCCACTTCTGCTGACTTTAGGAAACGGGCTCAAAGTAACACTTGCAGTGTTTGGAGTTGTGGTTACCATGAGGGTTTTCTTTTTTCCATCCAATAATCAGATTTCAATTCCAGAATGAGAAAGAAAGCTTCAAAGGTAAAATTAGTAGCCCATAACTTCTGCTTGTGCTAAGTTGCTGTATTGTGCCCGTATTGAAATCTCTTGTAGAGCGCTAAAGAAAAAAAGTAACTCTGTGGCTCTAGGATCAGCATTCTTAGTAGAATTTAGTGCTTTAGTTGGCACTTTTATATAGCCAGCGAAATTTTTCATCTTTGCAAGTGCTCATAATCAACTAGTTGAAATTTTAAATCTTTCTTACTTGCAAGTATGGGGGAGGAGGAGACATTTCATATAAACGAGAATAGTAAATGATTGTTTTGAAGATTCAAATCTCCACTTAGCAAGCGGAACTAAGTCAAGTTGTAATTTCTTCCTATAGCTCAGCTGGGGTGGGATAGGACATCTGAACTACTTGCAGGTTGGCAAAGACAAAAAATAAAGGTCAAAACGCTAAATGCCTCGAGTTTCCTACTAGAATTGTAACCCACACTGCAAACAGGTTCTGTATTCACGAGTTCCATGTGGGCTGCGCTGTGCTGTGGGGGCAGGCTCACTAGCCAGGTGCCTACACTGGCTCGGTTTGGCTGAGTAATGTTTTTCAGCGGTTAGTTAGAGAGTACTCAAAGGAGGTCATCTCTTATGAGAGTATCGGCATCTAATAATAGACTGCTATGACCAAGGTCTGCTCGGAAGATATTTTTCTCTGGTGACAAAGTGATTCTCAAAATGAGTGATACCCCTGAGCTGTGTTCCACCAATGGGACTTCCAGGCCAGCTTATGTTGCCCATCTTAATGCTCGACGTAACGCCACTGTCTTTCATGCAGCCAAAGGCAATTGGGGCAACTGTTGTTCAAGTCGGTGTTCCTTGGGGGACGTTTGCTTTGCACATCTTAGTATGGTGCTTATGCCTTTTGCTGGGGGAATGGGTCTGGAAGGAGAGCTCTGTGCTCAAGTGGTAGGTTGCTTCCGATATCCCAGCTAGCAGACTTAGTTAGCTCTGTTGCATCATAATTTAAATCCAGCCCAGCCAGAAGTGGCTTTGTGGGGTTAGCTACAGCAAAGACAGAAATAAACTTATAAGTCATGAATATGTGTGGATTTCGGTCATTAATCATTTCGGGTAGGAGAGGCCAAGCGAAGCAGTGGAAGGAACTGGGGAAGAGGATAAATCGGAGTTAGGTTCTGGATAGTTCATCGTGTGGAGCAGTGTCAATAAATAGCATTAGCCATTTGCTAATAACCTGATCCTGCTCATTCGTTGACTGAGGAGGTGATTTTCAGCTCTTGTTTTTGCCTGACTGATGCTCCAGTGGACCCTGATCGTCTTTAGATGCATATAAGGAAGCTTGGTCAAGAACTTTTGTTTGTTGCTGATTGTGTGCAGAAAAGGCAGTTGTCCAGTTCTCAGGTTGAGCTTGTACTTCCGAAGTTGCTCACTGTGCCTTTAGCACTGATGAGAGCTCAGCAGTGAAGTAGATACCTCTCTTGATGCTATGTTTTTTTGCTTCTTGCAGCAGAAAGTTTCCCAGCCAGTCCAATATTTGCCTAAAGATTTGGGGACTGTAAATTCATATCAAGAAACTTTAAAGAACTTAAAACAGCAAGCATAGTTGGACCCTTTTGATCCTACTGTAGTAAGAATAATGAGGATGGTAAAAGAAGTATAAGGTACTTCTTTGTTTGAAGAATTGTTATACGTTAGTTCTGAAAGTGTACGAGCATGTCGTGAGAGAACTTATCTGCCTCAACATACAATGTAAGTAATTTTCAGAGAGAAAGAGGTAGGCACGCACGTGTAAAGTGCCTTATGCACAGCTGTTCAGTCAGCCGGTGAGTGGGACACAGGTTTTTCAGTCCAGGTTTTCTTTCACTTGGAGTTAAACCTTAGGCCAAAAACTTGCTGTTATCCATTGGCGGCAGGGGGGAACAGGTCTTTTGAAACTGGTGGGTGTCACTGCACCGTGGTTTAGAGTAGCTGTAAAGAAACAAACTTCTCTAAGAAATTATAGCAATCTCCAAGCCATCAAGCAAAACAGAGACCACTGGGCAACCCTGTGGGTGGAAGGCTTTGGTGGGTATTGTGGGTGAGGCTGAGCTAGACTGAGAAAGAAGCAAGCAGAAACAGCATGAGAGAAGGAAATGCCTGGAGAGCCTAAGCAGCCTGGTATATGGTCCTGGGGAGAAATGCTTCAAGGGCTTATTTTTGAAAGGGGCTCACTTCCACATCCTACAAACAGATGACCTATCTGATTTGTTCAGTTCTTTACTGTGCTGTAAAAACTGGGATTTTTTGTGGTTTTAATATGTTTTTCTTTTTTAACCAAAAAAAAAAAATGGATTGTGTTAAAGAAATAATCTGATTTTTGTCAACAACCTTTATTCCTAGCTGGAGCAAACTGTAGCTTCTCTACTTTTGGCAACAGTGTAACTCAAAAAGATTAAGTATCTCCACTGCTTCTTTGAGCTGTTAACCCTGTGCATCTCAGCACAGGTGCAGCAGCACACAGTACAATGAGAACTGGGTTAAATTTAAATGACTTTATTTCCAGAGAATCAATAATGATAAAATGAGCAGCTTTTGGCAGGCTGTGTAGCGCTACCCAGAACAGCCTCTAGCTTGTAAAATAAAATATGATAAGGATACCTTAAAAGTCCAACATAAATTAATTTCCAAGTTCCTTTCTTTTTGACCTAGCATGATTTGGAGATCAGAATCTTGTTTTCCCTTGTAGGTATGAATTGCTTGGGGGGGGGGGAACGGGAGCACAAGGCCAAAAGAAGGTCTTTAGAAGCTCAAAGAATATAATAGAATGTGCTAAAATGCGCAGTATTGGTTTGTGTAGCATCTAAACCTGGCTTTCATAACTTGCATCTAGAAAGATCTTGCATTAGCCTTTTGTATTTGTTGTGGAAAAACAATTAATATTCAAAGTAGTAATTTTAGTTTGTATCTCCATTCGATAATGAATGCTGTATGTAGCTTAATGGGAAGAATATATTTGTGCTGCAATTTGCTCAAGTAAGAGGTACCATTTTTTCCTGAGCAGCCAATCTACCGTGGTGTAATATTACAGCTTCCCATACTCTTGATGTACTGAAAGGTCTGGAAGTACTGATGTGCTGAAAGGTCTGGTAAACTTATAAACACTTATTTGGTCTCTTGGTGTTCCTGTGAAACAGGTGGTAATAGAACTATATTGATGTAGTAATTGAAATCAGTTTAATGCTTAATCAGTAGGAAAACCTTTCTAGTGCAGTTAAACTTTGTCTCCATGACTACTAATATCCTAACTAGTGAATCAAAAGTTAATTTTGACTTGCTACTATTCATATAGAAAACAACATAAGTATTATCAAGGTATCCACAATATATGTCTGCCCTTGAGACATTTCAAGCACAGATGGTGTGTGGAAGAGGTAGGTGTGTGGCTTCTCTTTTATGCCATATGGCTGTATTCAAGAAAGAACTTCAAGTGGTTTGACTTCTTCTCAAAGGGGCAAATGTCCTTTGCTTAGTGTCCTTTTTCTGTCCTAAGCGTAGGCTGATTTTTGTGGTTACAGATTAATAAGTTGATGTCTCATTTGGTTCCTAAACTGGATAGCTACCAAATGGTTTTATTAATAAAAAAAAAAGCTTGTTATGACTGTACCCCTGCAGTGCTCTGTTGCTCATGAATGCCCACACCTTTCCATATGGTGGACTGATTCCTTTCCAGTGGCTGATGTCATACATCTATTCAATGTTAATTATATGCATATGTCTTCTGCTTTCAGCATGAATTGCTTGCTTTGCAGTAAGCCTGGCATCTTCACCCCTCTCTTGCTCCTTTTGTTAGGTGCTGTAGAGATCGTAAATAAAATGGCATGCAGTGCCTGAAGAACGTGTCTGAGTAGTCACATGTGTTACTTGCGTCCTTTTTCATGGATGAGAATCCATTTGCTTCAGTTTCAAATTGCACTAGGAGATAAGACAGACCCTCTGCTGTAGGTCTCAAGGCAACCACAAAATGTGATATGTTCTTTTTGTTTCATTTGGAGTCTCTGTATATTCTGCATATGCTATCCAGTAGATTCCTGTCCTGATAGAAGACATCAGTGCTCCAGTACATTTTTTTTTTTTTTATTGATACTTGGAGTATTTTTTTAAACGTACGTTGTGGATTTCAAGAGATTGAAACATCTCCTGTGTGACCATTAATTTTGTTCCCTCTTGTCCTGCCTCTCAATACGCTTAAAACGTTAAGGAAAAGCTAAGATTCCCTGAAACTACCTCTCAGCTGGCTAGCCAAGCAAAACTCACATTCAGGCAGAGCAGGAAATGTTAAAACTGGTGTGAAAGCGTCCCTCTAAGTCATACCATTTCTGCTGTCTGGCTTTTGGATCTGGAAGCTAGTGGGAATGCTTTGCAAGCTCTGGAAATGATGGCATAGCTATATTGAACACTGGAGAGATGAGCTAGAGCAGCTTGATAGGGTTGTGACTGTGATTGGAAGGGGTCCCGGCATGTCATATCCAAGCAGTCTGGGTGAAGAAGTTGCCATGTGCCTTGAGGTTCCTTATCAGCACTGTATCGTGAAGTGGGAGCAGTGTGTTTTTTATCCTGTGGCACTATGAGAGTTGGAAACTAAGTCATTACTGAAAAACTGCTTGTATCAAGTTTAGAGTACTTACCACTCTTATTTCCTTCTCTGCCACCACCCCTACGTATGTCCCAGCCACGTTTTAAGACATCAGATGAACTGTATAGAGCACCACAGAAGATTACCCTTCAAACAAAAATACACTTTCAGCCTCAGCTTAGGCTGTTGGTTTTCCCAACTGAGAATATATACACGCTGGCCAGCCTTAGTGCTTTGGGTGGTGATAAACTGCTTTCAAAACAAGTGAGCACAGTTAACTGAATGTGTCTTGCGTCAGATCTGAAGCACGTGTGCAGATGGAGTGCACGTTCTCTTGGACTGACCCGGCAGGTCTACTAGTGTTGGCAACCATGCGTATGTGAAAAGTGATTGTTAGAAGCTGCTGAAGCGATAGCCTCTTTATGTAATTTAAAAAAAAAAAATCTCGCTCTGTGCAGCATCCACTTTGCTTTTGGTGCAGCTGTTTTTCTACAATAACAACTACTTGATTCAGTGCATTCAAGTTTATTTAGCACATATTAATTGCACCCAGGTTTAGCACGTTGTTAACCTTTTAATGATCTGCTGAATCATGGGCTTAAAAATGCACCAGTGTCTGTCTTTTGTTATATGTAACTGCATGCACTAGAAAAAGGTTTGAGGAAGTGGGACTTGACGGGATCACATCAGAGGCTTCAAAGTGGAGGAAAGAAAAGTGTTACTGAGCAAAGGCATGTTTGATCCAGGCCCGGAAAAATGTTTTAAAAGCCTTAATAGACTTCTGTCTGACCTCTGGGTCAGGTGCTCTTAATATAGATGAAATCTGAAAAGCAAGCACCCAGCACTTCATGTTGAATAGTGTCATATATAGTGTTTTATATCTTAGTGGTGTTTTCCAGAAATATTTTTCTAAAGAATAATCCTCGTCTTGAACTGTGAATGAGGAGTAATAACTTCTAATGCTTGGTTGCTCCCCTATTGTGTTTGGAACTCCCCTTGACCCAGTATTTAAAGATAGGCATTTATTTTAAGGTTCAGTAAAACTGCAGAAGCCACTGTGTCAAGACTTGAATGTCCCTATTGTGGAGGAGGAAGGGGGAACCCTTTTGATCATCTCGGTAGTCAATGTCAGTGTTTTTCTGAAGCCCAGGCTAGCAAGCCTGCCTCATATTAACTTCTCTATCCTGAAAACAGTTGAATTATTTGAGAACCACCTACACAGCTCTCAATTACACTTTTTTCTGATGATGTTTCTCGGTGGCTTAACCATAGTACCATACTGTGTATTGGAATTAGTAAAACAAAAGTGTTTCAAACCTAATTCTACATATAAAAGAAGGGTGAGTATCGTTCCTCCATATACTTCCTTAACAGCAGCTTCTTTGGGTAACCAAAAAAGGGAACCACGCTGCCTGGGGAGAACTCCCTACTGAAAGCGCCCTCCTGCCAGCATTACCCGACCAACTCTTGTGACTGTGAAAGTCAGCTCCAGGTTCAACCTCTTGGAGGCCCTCATGGAATTGGCTTTAAGAACACAAGGGCCTTTTTCTTCTTGTTAGCCTTTGGCTCTTGAAAACCAAGGGCGCTCGGGTGACATGAGTGGAGTGTTTTTTGTTTGTTTGTTTGTTTTTAACCTTCCTTCTTCAGTGATGAGGTCTACAGCTCGAAATAATCGCTTGGCTTTGAGAAAAACTTCCCCTGCACGCTCTTCTTCCTCCCTCCCAAAACAAACACTGAGTATCAGGAAGGATCAGAGGAGCTGGCAGTGCTGTTCTTCAGATTACCCACCTGACTTCTGGTGTGTAGACAGATCTAAAGTCAGCATCGTGAATAACAGCAGTATGGATGCTCAAAATATAAATGACCTCACATGATACATGGGATCCACATAGTGAAGATCCTGTATTGCGATCCTGCCATCTGATTTGGAGGCACGGATCTCTATATCATTGAAAGTTTCATGGAGTGAGTTGATGATCTCTCCTAGGTTGTTAAGGTCAATCCCACAGTATTTGTGCTATTGGCTCAAGGACTAATTTTTTACATTAGTGAATAGTGTGATTCATGCTGCATGGCGGGGAGGGAAGTGGCAGTCTTTAAAAGCTCTTTTGTGTTAGCCCCTGGGTGAGCAGAGGGATGCATATATTTGCACCTTCATATTGCAGACTTGCAGAAATCTTCTTTATAAGCAACCAGGCGTGTCATACAACAGTGAATGATTTACATGTAGATTGGTTGGGCTTGATTTTTTTTTTTGTTGTTTTTAATACTTTAAAAAGCACAAGATTTGCATTGCAGGGATTTTTTTCTTTTTCCCCTCCCTTAAAGGTTGGCTATATAGGATAGTGCTAGGTATGTAAGGCTAGAACTAGGGGATAAATAGTACCTCTCTGAATTCCAGTCTTAAATTGGATGTGCATTGTGCTAAGCTTAAAGGTAACTGGGAAGAAAGTCTCTGCAGTTGGGTGTTAAGTAGTAAAAATGCAGTAACGATTGTCACTAGATTTATATATATATATATTTATATATATAAAAAATAGAAGTAAGTGCTTAATTGTGGAAAGCAGGAAATGTTTTTGAAAAGTTTTCCTTCAAAAGATCAAATAAGTTTTTACTTCTGAGTTCACTACAGTGTGTGTGTTTGCCTTGTTACTTTTACTTTGTGGCTTTGGCAATCCCCTGGTGCTTTTTTTTTTTTTTTTTTTGCCTTTTTCCATCTATTAAGTCTTGTCCAAAACGTATGTGTGTCTCCTTTTCATCTGCTGTTTCTTTCTTTGGAAACAGTGAAGTGTCTTGAGTGGTCTTTTCACAGATGATTTAAAGGTCTCTTTGTTTACTCTTTAACATTATGCTGCAGAGGAAGATGATGGTGAGGAGGTGCCAGAATTTCAGGTGTCTGGGAAAATCGGAGCAAAGAAACAGAGGAAATTAGAAGAGAAACAAGCCAGAAAAGCACAGAGAGAGGTAAGCATTTCCTGCCACGTATAAAACCCAGAGCAGAGCCTGAAGAGCAGTAGTCAGCAAAGAACAGGTGATGACTGACACTCTGGAGAGGCAAAAGCAATGTGGTCACTACAACTGCTTTGGTTTTTGTTTTAAAAATGTTAGTTCAGCCTTTTGTGCCTCATCCCCAGAGGGTCATGAAAAGTGTTGTTCCCTCACTTGTCATCTTTCAGTTGTCTTCCCTGGGATTCTCATAGGGAAGAACAGAGGGCTTAAACTCTTTAATGATTTTTATTGGCTGTTTCCACTAACTTGCAGCTTAATCTCTGTACTCTGTCTCCCCTTAAAAGCACACTTAAGCACATGTGGCATTAGTTTAGCTTAGTATAAGCTTTTATTTTGCCTGAGGTATGTGAAAACATGCTCTGTGGTCTCTACTGCTGCATCGCACAAGACCTGGAGCTGACAAGCTGTTTCCAGAAGGTGGTTGCAGCACACGCAGAGCAGGCTATTGTTACAACGCTGGGTCTGCAACCAAAACCATGGGCAGATCTGAGTAGTGTTTAATGCGCTCTCAAAGTAGGAAGACTTTGTATGGGTTTGTACATGTTTAGCGGTGTTTACTGTTTTCTTGGATGGGAGGAAGGTGAAAAATAGACCCTGCAATCCACTGAAATCTGTGATACAGTCATATTTTGGTTGGAGTTTGGCCCTTAAAGCAGACCAAGTATACAGAGCAAGCGTACTGCAGCTTTTCAGTTACTCAGTTTCTTAATTCTGTGTGTAAAATTACCCATTGAAAGTTTTTCAGTTTTATCCAGTAAGTAGCTGTTAATTCCAGGAAAGCAATAAGCTTTTTGAAATTTACTCTCTGAAATATGCTCGTGGATGACTGCAGTGTTATGCTTCAATTCCTTTTAGTAGTTAGATTTTTTTCCCCCAAACTCTGTATTGTTCTGTAACTTGGAACATGGGCTTGCAAGAAGTAGATGCAACTCTGAAACAGGCTTTGCATAGCAGAACCTCGAGTGCAAAGTGGACACGGCACATCTTGTAAAATAGAGTGCTTTAATAAAACTGCCAAAGATTCCAATGTGTAGAGGGCCCAAACAAAGCCAGAGAAATCCCATCTTGAATTTTAGTGTAGCCTGAGATTTAAACGCAGGGCAAAAGTGTCTGCTTTATGCTTTATAGCATGCCCTCTAACAGGGCAGTTGATACAAACACATATGATTATATATAGACTTCCATTACCATCCTTTTCTCACTCGCTCTATGCTTTAACCATTTTGTCATAACTTTCCATATTCAGTCTATGTAATTGGCCTTGATTTTTGTGGAAAAATCTGAGCAAAATTGAATGTAGATAGATGAGCATTGGTTGGTGGAGTGAGGAATCATTTGTTTCATTTTAAAAATGATGATTGTTGTTTTCCCTTTTAGCCAGATAAATTCCTTAGTTAGGCCTTTGGCACTCAAACATTCAAAGCCACAAATCCTCTGTAAGAATGTCTTCTACTTGTTGTCTTAATATATTCTTAATATATTCAAATTTAAGCGTATGTAAGAGACTGAAGAACAATTTTAAAAAGATCTCTAAAGAATACATTAAACAGTCTTTTTAATTTTTTTCTCCCTTTGCAACAGTCTCTCTCTGCTGGTTTTGGTTAAAAAAAAAAAAAAAAAAAAATAGTAAAATGAAGAGACCTGTACAACTATTTTTTTGTAATGAGGTTCTGCCCAGGTTAATCCATAAAATTTAAATGTATTTGCAGAGGTTTACATGCTTTCCCCATGCATGTCCCCCCCCCCCCCCCCCCCAGGCCATTCTAACTAAATTTCAAGTGAGGAGAAAAGTAGTATTGTGTCATGGCATTTTATAGTATCACTGTAGTAATAAGCTCATGTGCACATACCAAGCTTGAAGAAGCTTATTGAGAAAGAGTCTTCAGAGGAGTAATTTATAAACTTATCACAATGTTAAGTATTCTTTGCATCTAGGGAAAAAAGTTAATTGGTAACGACTTCTTTTAATTGGTTTGTTTCTTTATTCTTTCTTTCTGAACATGCGATATTGTGATACCTCCTACAGTATCACAATATGAAATTAAAAATTGTATATATTCAGGAAGATTAAATCTGGACTTGCATGATGTTTATTTTAAGGCTGAAGAAGCAGAGCGAGAAGAACGGAAAAAACTTGAGTCAAAGAGAGAGGAGGAAAGGCGGAAAGAAGAGGAGAGAATACGTCTTGAAGAAGAACGACAGGTGGGATTGGTTGTAATTTGTAGGTGGAAATTTTGAACCAAGTTTGTCTTTATAACATTGCTTTTCTTTTTAAGTTCTGTGCTGAGGAAAAATTCCCTTTGTCTGTCTTTAGCATTGTATACATCTTTTTTTTTTTTTAGTTGCTTCATTTAATTTGAGTTACAGTAATGTTGAGCGATTTCAACTAAAGATCCCAACTTTGTTCACCCAAGGGCTTTGCATAAGTGAAAGAACTCCTGCTCCAAATGTCTGAACACACATGCAGCAGCAAGGGCCCACCTGCAGTCAGAGTCTAGGACAAAATAAAACCAATCCCCTGTTAGGGGATCCAGTCGCTTGTCTGCTACTGCTGTGCTGCAATGAAAAATTGTCTGGATAGTTTGATATATTGATAAACATAGCCTTTAAAGTTGGCCCCCAGTCTGTCTGGACCAGTTTAAGTGGGGATATGCGAAGAAAGGAGTTGTACCTAATAGCAGTAGAAATTTTCAGAGCAGCCAATTTGGTATCTGACAGACAAAGTTTGGTTGTCACAGAATCACAGAACAGTTTAGGCTGGAAAGGACCTGTGGAAGTAAGTAGTCTGGTCTGTCCTCTTGCTCAAAGCAGGTCTGGTTAGAGCAGGTTGCTCTGGACCTTGCCCAGCCAAATTTTGAATGTCTCAAAGGATGGAGAATTCTCAGCCTCTCTGGGCCCCTGTTCCAATAGTTGATCACACTTACGGTAAAAGTTTTTCCATGTATTTAATTGAAATCTGAGTTCCAACTCGCGCCCTTTGCCTGTTGTCCCATCAGGTAATGCTGGTTAGCTCTGCCTGCCTAGTAGCAATAACCAGCAGGGCAGAAAGCAAAAGGCATCAGCAACCAGTTTTGCAAGTATTGTGCAAAACTGTGAAGTTTAATTCTAATTGCACAATTTTACAATGTGCTTTACAGTTAAAGACTTCTAAACTCTATATATGAGGCTGTGTTAGCAGAAGTGACACAGAAAAACAGATACTATGCAATTGAAATACTTCTGTTAAAAACTTTCCTCAGTAAGGAAGGCAAACAGTTCTTTCAAAGCTGCTTTGTGTATTACAGACTTGAGCGCTACCGGCTAAGAAGGAGGAATGCGCTTCACGCTCTCTTTGGGCCTTGAGCAAGTTGTGTGGTAGCTTTGCAACATGCTCCTGGAGGCAAGGACTGAGGTGTCCTGCACAATCCTGTGCTGGATAATTGCCACCCCAGGGAAGCACAGCTTTCAGTGTGAATTTTCCAGGCTACTCAAACATGCATGGAGATGTGTGCCTGTAGTTTGTAGCGAGCAGTTTTATTTTAATTTGTTCTAAGCAGAAATTGTATAAATGGGAATGTGTTACTGATAACATTTTAAGGGGAAATGCTTCGTCTTTTTTTCTCTTTCCTTAGTTGAGGGCATGAAGGCAGGATAAAGCCACTCAATTTTTTAACGAATGTTTTTTCATACATTACGCACTCAGGTTGTATCCATGAGATGATGTGTAACTTCTAGAATGTGTGCTTACCTCAGTGGTTATCCCCTGAAAAATCATCTGTCTTCTGAGCTCTCTTTTGTTCCCTTTTCATCAATAGAAGGCTCCTAAATTTCAGAAATTGAGTTGGATGAGAAGGTTGTCAGTACTAAAACATCAGGATATTTTGTAACGTGGCCCAAGACTTTGGGTTATAAAGCGGCTTGAAAAAGAAATTTTCAAGGGACCAATTATTCCAAACCGCCCTTCTGGGGAAGGTGCATAAATTTAGAAGTGTCTGGTAGTGACCAAAGCCAGAACCCTGAGACCAGACAACTGAACTCGGCTAGTCCCAACCGTTCCTGTGCTTACACAAGCTCTTTCATACAAATGGGACTATCAGACCTGGTTTCCTACGGATCTGTGTCTACGCCTTTTCCACTGCCCACGCACTGCGATAGCACCCACTTCTGCCTTGTGATCTCTGTGACCACTCTCCTGTTCTATGTATCTCCGGTTTCTCCCCCTCATACTTCCAGCTTAGCAAGACTCGAGACAAGCTCTGGCTGCCTCCAAAGAACGTGTCTGTTGCCCATCCTGCTTGCTGTGGGACTTGTCCATCCTACAGGCCAAACATAACAAATTACTTTGCTCAGATGGGAGGTTTCCTTTCAGCAATGCATTGTTCCAAGTGTTTTTGCCTCTACCCAGCAACCTGATTCCTTTTTTCCATTTTTTTTTTTTAAGCTTTTAGGAATTTAATATCCCGGAAAGCCCCAAAAGTTGATTGAAATGAACCAACTGGCTTAAATATTTTAGGGGAAGTAGGAGAGCACACTGGCTGGACAGTACTGTTGTGTAAGCTTAATTTTCCTTACAAAAGGCTAACAGCAGACTTTCAATTCCTTCCAGAATGGTGACCAGCAAGACAGTTGAATTGCCAGGCAAGTAGCAGTTGAGCTCAGCCCACTTGCTCAAAATGAGTTTTAGCCCACAGCAAAGATGTTATTCTGTTGATTGCCTCTGAGTATGACCTGGGGTGTAAAAGTACATCTGCCTAATCTGGATCAGTCAGGCATGGTTGAAGAACTCAGTAGAAAATAAAGGTGCAATTCTACCCAGAGATCTCTTCATACAGAAACTGCTACATTTGAAAGGAAAGAAGTAAAGCAGACTTAGCGATTTCTGCTCGATTTTAGGCTAATTTACTTTGCTTGACTCAGGAACATCTCATTTGTTTTTGTTTTAATTTTCAATGTTCCTAGTAAACACTGCACTAGGACGCTTCCACCACCATTTTGCAAGGCTTAGTAAAAATGAGTAGCATAAATTAGAGCTTTGTTTTTTTTCTTTGAACAACAATGCCTAACAATGCAAAGAAGTACTTACTTGCTGGAATTTTGAAAAGTGCTCAGATGCCTGAATCTAGCTCACTGTTCACTTCAGGCAATAACTTTCTCAGGTACTTAAGGTTAAAATTACAGAATGAATTTTTTTTTTTCTTCCCTTGGTAGTCTTAATTAGGGCAGCAAGCCAACCCGCTGGGCTGCATCATGAATGTTATTCTGCTACTCAGTGGGAAGAAGTTTGACTGGTGTATGTATGTGTATATATGTATAATTTTTTTGTTGGGTCTGAGACAGGTTGGTAATTCAATAGCCACTAAACATTTTGAGTGGATCAAAGTAAAAATGTCTGACAACATTTAATATTCAACTTGAACTGCATTTAGTAATTTTTACATCTCTGCCTTCATGAGTCTAACAGGAAACAGATCAATTCAAGACATCTGCGTGCTTAGGCTGTGTTGCTCAGAGTTCCTGCTTCAGTCAGCACAGAAAGCAGTATTTACAGGGAGCATTGTAATAACAAGATTTTAATGCTTTAGTCTTCACTGGGTAAGAGGACAGGAAACGAATTGGATGAATAGATACTTGATTACTGTACATGTAAGCACAAGCTGTCGTTACGATCACAACATGTAACTTTCAAATCTTCTTACAAGCTCATTGCATGATGTAAAGGACGTTGCCTCTCTGATCCTTTATTTCCCATGTGGGCCTAAAATTATGTTGTTTTTTTACAGAATGCATAGGATAAAAGATGTCATTTGTATGTTCCTCTAGGGAAAGGATTCTTCATTTTTGCCAGTAACGTTTTGTCTGGAGTGAGCCCTTGTGGACTGCACACATGATGCTACTATCTTCCTATATATATTAGAAGATGGAAAGGCAAAGTTGTGAAATGTTGTTCAAGTAGTGATTGATCAGTCAGGAGTATAAAAACAGAGGGCATTTTTGGAAGCAATTTGGTTATTGGCACGTCTGTAGCGCCACATAATCCCACAAAGCACAAGAAATTCAGAATTTATTACTGAAGGTTTTCTGAAAATAGTTTTTGTTGTCGGATGACTTCATTTTTCCTTCCTTTTCCAATACATCAAATTATTTCTGCAGTTCTAGTGACAGTGGCCAGTCTTTTCATAGTTTTTATTTCTTTTTTCTCGTGCAGTTCAGGAAAGGTATTAGGACCAACGATGAGTTTACCGCCTCCAGGAAAAGTAAATCTTATGTGCATGAGTTGTTCATTATTTCGCTTGCTGCACATTCAAACATGTAAACCAACTGTTTTTCACATGAATTTACTGGTGAAGTTTAGCTTAATTGCAAATAGATTTTAATTGCCAGAGAACTTGGTGATGAGGAGCTAGTTACAAAACAAGTTACCTGTGCAACCAACTTGGTTAGCTAAATTGCAATTAGAATCTTTTTTCAGTCTGTCTAAAGAAGTACTACCAAAAATGTCTCAACTTCCATGAACATTGGGATTTGCTTTGTGTAAAGGAGACTTACCTTTCAGCCTATTAGCTATACCCTTAAACTAATAGCTGAATCCTAGACAACACAAACAGATTATTCCTGTGCCATTAAATACTATCTAAAAGTTTGTCAGATGATAAAGGAAGCCTAAATAGGTTCAAGGAGACAGAAAACCATGTTGCAGCTTGCAGATCTTGTAGAAATCCCTTGGCTTTGATCTTTGATAAAGTCACTGTGAATATTAACCCCGCTTTCCCCCGTCCCCCAGCTCTAGTAGTTTGAGATGCATGGAATTGGGAAACAATGAAGCCTTAAGTCAGATTTAAAAAAAAAAAAAAAAAAAAAGCTGAGTTTTCAAGAGAAAAACAGAGATATCTTTCCAATTATTTTCAGGCAACTCTACACTGCATTACATAGTGCTGAACTGTAAATGGAAGCTGTACCTTCAAGGGACTTACAAGGCCTAAAATCTTGCATATTCTTGAGAAAGATAACCCCCTGCTTCTATTTAAACATATTTATATGCACATATAAATAAAATGTGGTTGCCCCTTGGCTCCAGTGTTGCAAACCAGATAATATATTTTTAAATTCAAGTTTCCTTTCCAGTGTTCTGATGACCTGATTGGCTATATATGTGAGGAAGCTCCTTCATAATTGGCATTTGCTTCAGCTCTGCTTTACCCCGGGGATTTCCCTTTCACTCTTGG